GGCCGACCCACCTGAATGCTTCCCCATGGGGAATCTATTTAGTGTCTATGAGCTGATTAGACGGCAAGCTTTTTAGTTGGTCGCCATATTTTACCCATTTGTTCTACTGTTCTGAATGTGGTCATAAAAAGTAAAAAGTGCTAAAAAGTTTGTTCTATCTTAGATATATTTAAGCAAACTAATTAGTTGATGGTTTGACTTCATTTAGGGGGTTGTTTAAAGAGCAGCGACTATCTATATACAGGTGTTTGATTTACATACTAATTGTGCAATATTAACACGCTACATGTATATTCAAGTGTCTCAGGCATACCCCGTACCTTTTCACCCCTACAGAGAATTATAATTATTTATGCAAACACAGACACAAATTAGACAACAACATGTTGACTAACTATGATTACACAATATGACATTGGTGCGGATTCCACACAGGGTCGGTCGTCGAAAATTATTTTTTCACGGACTCTCTTCTATTCGGAACTTTAAGACTTTGTTGATTTTTTCACACGCGGATATATACTTTATAGATCACTCCGTCTCCCGTCAACATGTGACATATGTTTGTATCAAAGACTGTCATGAGGCACATATCGATCGCACACTGTGTGTTTTGACTCGCTGCTAAGGCTCAACACCAAGTCCACCTGAGTAAAAGTCACCTCGCCAGGATAACACCATTAGCGCCCACATTATTGCTTACCTACACTTTCACTTTGTTTATTGTCTGGCGCTTACCTATAATCGTTTATTTTTGATTGAATGTTGCCACTAAGTCAGCTGTGCGTCAAGGTACGAGAATCGCCTCCGAGCGCAGCCGAGAATTAATTACAGCTTTGGAAGTAACTCGCTCGCGTTGTCAGTAATTACGTCGCGGGGTATTCAGGGCACAGACCGTGATCACAAGATACCGCCAATAAATTTGTAGATTTTTAGAAAATAGATTTTTCTTGTGAACGGTCCCTTAATATTTGTTTTGGAAGCAGGCGAATAAAATACTTCAAACTACGCTGTTCCCGAATGTGTAACTATGTAAACAATTTGCAATATGATGAAAGTAGATTGCCACATTTTTAATTCTATCAATAATTGGATCAGATCTTAATGCCGCTTGCGTTATTAATACAAGAGCTTTGCGACCACATCATGTTGAGGAAGGCAGGGATTAGAGATTAAGAGCAGTCTCTAATCTCCAAAATATCCCATTATTTTAACCAAAGTGTATCTGTATTTTTTTTAAAGGCACTTCATCATCCAATTTAGAGAGTCCTGGTTGCTAAAACACCACACAGATCGCTTTATTTCATTGAGTCCCCATGTATAACTCTTTCCCAAAAAGACCAACATTACAATCTAATACACAATGGTAATGAACTCCACCTGTATTATAGTGACATCTATACGTGAAATAAAAATTGATCTCAACAAACACAATGCCACTTCCTTACTTTACACAATGTCCTGTTTCCGATGCACATTACCAGTCACTGTTATCCCTTACTCAAGCACTGGTCGTGTACATGCTAATATGGTGTCTTTATCGTGTGACTTTTCTAGATACGCCAGTCAGTCAGAGAAAAAGTGTCATTTACAAACATGGCTGCAACTATCACATTATATCATGTTTTGATTATGGAAAATTGCTGACAAATAAGCTCTTACCCACAAGCACTTAATCGAATTCGAATAATGAGGCAAAAAATCCGTGCAAACAAGATAATTTGCAAAAAGCTAAATGTAGGTGACCTTTCTCTGTCTTTATGGAAAAGGTCGTTCAGGCAACTTAGAATAAGAATAATCCCTGTTCTAACCCAAGTACTACGGCACTTTCACCTTGACCTGTTTGACTATCTAGCGGAGGGCGAACTTTATTAACGAAGAGGAAAAGATGGTCTGCATTAAATGTATGTGCAATATTTCGAGCATTGAGAAATGATTAAAGGACAATAGTCATATAAAAATCCATTTCTCGAATTTTGAAGATTCAGCACTCAATCTATACACTAGAGGTATGTTTTAATCGATCCCCGCCATTTAAAAATTATAAAAAACAATCTATTAGAAGTAAAAAAGCGTTTTAATAAACCTCACCTCAATATGCACAAACGAAGCAACAGATCTGGGTCAAGTGGTACTGTGACGACAATGAGGATAAAGGTCAACGAGACTTAACTGAGCTGCATGGGCAAACAGACAGAATAATTTTGGAAAGTTGTGTTGAACGGAGTTGAGCAATTTTCTTTATGCCTCAGTGTGTTGCCGTGGGATTCACCAAATTTGCTGCACTCCTTGACTATCTTTCTTTGTCTGTGACGGTCTTCCGTGACTAACTTAAGCCTAGGTCCCAATCGAACGTACGGGCTGCTACGTGTGGTCTACGGCCAAAAAAAAATTGGGAAAACGTGGGAGTTCGTGTGTGAGGAGCACGTCCACCGTGCGAATTTTGGAGTACGCAAACAGCACGTAGAAACTTCCCACCAATTACTTGACTTCTTCCCTGCGATCTAGCTAATTCATAGCCGGACGCAAGGAACCTAAAAACCGTGCGTCCAAAACGTAGTTGCTAACTTCGGTGACAATAGTTGCGATGCTCGCGATCTCGGTGACCTCAGGTGTTTTAGATCATATCAAAAGCTGATAGTCTTTTAGATTGACTGTCATCAGTTGGCAAGCTTATTAAAATTTGTAAATGCATTGTAGTTGACCCGAGCTCGTTAACAGTAAAACCTGTTAATTATGCACCGCTGCAATTCCCAAGCCAGGTAATAACAGGTATGAAACTCGTCTTGGTGGGCTTTCATATTTTTCAATATATATAATTTATTTCATGGGGTTATTTTATTGGTATTTGTAAATGACATTAAATATCAATATTTAAACAATTAAGTTCAAACACGGTCGCGAACATTAATAAAAGAAATTGCTCTCAGGGTATCTTGAAGCATGTGTATGCCCAGGCTATACTTCCGTGGAAGAAAACGTGTTGAGGAAAAACAGGAAAAAGAGCGTTATATTAAAGAAAAAAATGGGAACTGCTGTAATAAAATGGTTCGTTTATGCTTTGAGGATTTGTTTCTGAAGATTATTTTATCTGAAATATTAAATAATTCAAAAGATTTATCATTTTATAACTTGAAACGCAAGTTCTGCGTCTGTACGCAAAACTTTTTGCAAATCTGTAAGCTTATAACACCGTGCTATACTTAAGAAAAATTTTTGCTTGGGTAAAATTGAGTACGGAATGAACTGGAGACACTTGGCTTGTCATTAAGTTTACACGAAAATATGTCAGATAACTTTATACTGTCTTTGAAAGAGTAAAGATTGAAATATAATTTTAGACAAATGTTGACGGGGGAAATATCTACAAAGAGTAAAGGGCTATTGAGCCAACATCTTGTTGAAAATTTTACACTGCAATTCTATTTAAATAAGCTTATATAGGAACTAATTGCCAAATTTAGACTTTCATCACATAACAGGGGGGTAACCAGACCTACAAAAATTGTACGCACAGATTTTAAAAAATTACAAGCACGTACAGCAAAATGTAGACTTACGGAAAACATGAAGGACAGCGTAGCACAGCAAATGTACCTCATATAGTAGCTTAATTTCCATTAATAATAAAATCATCATTTAAGTCAAAAATATTCTCGTGATTTGATAAATATTCTAATTTACCCAGAACGGTATATTTATTTTAAAGGAAGCTAACTGAAATATAGTTTTATTATTTGTTTGTGAAATTTGCCCATGTCACCCTGTTAGTTTGAAGGTCTAAGCTGGATCAAGTCCGTGTTAAAATTCCTATGAAGCTGTGCAGGATAAATTCTTCCTTTGTTTCTCTAGCTCCTCGATAAACCTGGTGTTCAAATTTTATCTAGTACCCCCAGGTCTGCGGGAGCTGCTCTTTGAAACTAACGCACAGGTAGATTTTTACCTGAGATAAATATCGCCATCAAGAGTGCGTTCGAAACTCGCAAGACAAATTGAATGCCATTTAACCCTCTAATTAAGAGGTATTAAAGGAAGTTCCAGTTAGATGGATCATTAAGATAGGACTTGTAAAGGTAACGGGCATTGTTTACCTCCGTTTAATAAAAATATGCGGTTTAATAAAATAAATTGAATTTCACAAATAGCATGGACCTCATATGCAATAATAAACAGTACCTTAACTCATTCAAATGCAGTGTTTTATACAACTTGGGATAACCATAATAAATGCTCGTTAAAGAATTGACTAGACGGGAATGGTTTTACACAGCTTCACAAGGATTTAGACCCCTCGGGTAAGAGATCTGAATGAGTATTAACTTTTATCAGAAGCCAGAAAAGTCATCTTACAGGTAGACAATGCAGCTCAGTTTGACAGCTAAGCACGCTCTGTTCTCCGGTGGCACGATTGTCGTCATCGGACCATGTGCCCACGTAGCTCATTAACTTCCAGGCCGAGCAAAGAGGACGTTTTTTAAAGCCAAAAATTTACAAAATGAGCTTTTACTTTGTGTATTTGGATAAAGATATCGTTAGTTGGGCATGTTTTCTGAAGAATATGCTCCGTTCAGGCCTTTCCGACGGTATGACGCAAATCCTTTAATGATTTCATTGTATGCGAAGCACTGAAGGTCTCACGGGAACGTATTAGCAATTCCGTATTTGGTAACCCTTTAAATTGTTCAGTTTTTCAGGGTAGTACATTGAATTGTACCAGTAAATGCTATAGATTAACACTAAAATTGTGGTCTGTATTGTAGGCTTTCGTGTAACATGTTTTTCTTTTTTCCTCTCGCTAGCGCTTGTATTTGACGTTGTCTATCCAAGTGGACGGCTTCAGGCCGTCTCTGGAATTTCTCATTATATCTACGGTGTAGGCGAGTTTCTCTGAAGTCAAATATTTGTTGATAAAAATCGCACCATGGCTCCGTCTTTTGGGGTCGCCGGATAAAAGAAAACCCAAGGGTATATCCCCTTAGAGCACAGTGGTGTATTTCTACCACCCTCTCCATCTCACCGACAACAACAGATACTATGGGATGGTCGATGTCGGTTCTAACAGGGAAACCGGCCTCTTTAAGCTGTTGTCGGAATGATTTAGACAGTTTTCGCAAGTTCTCCATCTGTTCAGTTGCCTGCATTGCCAACTCCATTGCCTTTTTCAGTCTGACGGCGCCCGAGATTTGAAAAGTGTTGCTGAATATGCCCAATGTTGTGACGTGGTTGAAGCAGTCAGTGATGTCACGGCTACTGGCAATGGCACCATTATCACAGGTAAGACTTTTATGTAATGATGTGGTTCTTACAGTAGTAGTAAAAATTCCGTTGTATACTGATTTAAAACGTTTGAAATGTTTGAATCCCTACCCTGTGAATAGAAGGGGGTGGGCAAACAATGGAGAGCCGTATAAATCCCTTTAAAATTCGAACGCAAAAACACAATAGCTTAGACGAGTGAACCCCATGACGCCGGTATCTGTGGTCCAACGCGAGCACAACAATCCGCTGTAACTAAGTGTAATTAACAGCAGGATACATCAACCAGAAAGTCCCCATTGTTTGTTGCGGCGATAGGATTATAGCTTTAAGTGGCTAGAACCCATGCTACCGCGTGCCACTAAACCGTCTCCCATAGCGAACTGTCCTTTTGTTCCCTAGCTTGGCTGATCATGTTTTAAGTGTTGCTAGCAAACTGCTTGTTTCATTCAATATGAAGTGCTCCGTAGTAAAAAACTGAACTAAGTATCGTTTGTTTGATTAACATGCATACGCATCAGCATCGTGCATCATGATCAACAATTCACCCTGCCTCATAATTCTTATTGCAAATAGTATTTATAAATTATGAATGATAATGAATGAGGAATAAGGAAAAAGCAGCGAATAACATTGTCAAAAAGGTACAGTTTATGTCAAAAACGTTTTGAAGTTTAAAGATGCTCAGTACATTTATTTCCATCGTCTCCACCTATGTGAAAAATAAAAATTAAAAGTAACAAATAAAGCGGCGTTATTTTTATAAAGAAAAGTTACAGAACGAGCTGGCCTGTAGCCTCAATTACTAAAAAAAATTGATATGGACAATTGGCTTGAGTCAGTCTTATTTTGTGAATGACACATTCTCCATCGTCACTGTTGAATTACCATTATTAATTTACAGTCATCTTATTTAACAATCTTACTCTTAATCTTATCTTGTTTAGGTTTGTTTAAGAAATAATAGCCCTTGCGTTTAACAAGAGATTGCCAGCTATTATAAGACCCCCCTCTTCTTTAACCTTAGGCTGTTAATTCATCGTTTTTATTTTTCATATAGAGTGATCACACTGTCAGGCTTCCCCTGTTACACGCTGGAGTTGGATTGTCCTTGCGCCAGTGATAGATATTTTCTCCTATTCTGTTGTTAATATAAAGCTTTCATTTTTTTAATAGCATCATCTCATCACCCATTGTGCGCTCTGAGAAACGGGTGATTAGCAATTTGTCTCATAACTAATACAGGGCGTCCTTTTTTCTCGTTGTTGTTAAAATGGACGTTAGTTATCAAGGTTTAATGCTTAGCTCTCATCGCGTTATATGTATGTGCATCTAAACGATGTTAATCCTATACTTGAACGTTATTGCCCGGTGTCGCACGTATGCTTTCTCACTACAGTGATCTAAAACAAGTCGCTAGTGCATTTAAATATAGCAAAATCTGTTCGACAGGACATTTCTTCACGGCAGCCGTACACGCAGTAATTGTAAAGGCGAGGTTTTACTTTGTTTGAGAAAAGAAAACAATCGCGGTCATCAATAGATTGCGAGCTATAGTAAGACCCCCCTCCTCTTTAACCGATGTCCTACACTGTTAATACACACTGACAGACTTCCCCCTGTTCCACGCTGGAGTTCACTTGCACTTGCGCCACTGCTAGATATGTTCTCCTATTCTGTTGTTAATATAAACGTTTTCATTTATTTTTGAAAATTGTCATCTCATCACCCATTGTGCGCTCTGAGAAACAGGTTTTTTTCCCCACAGCAGAATATTTTAATTTAAGCAATTTTTCTCATAAATATGACAGGGCGTTTTTTTTTCTCGTTGTTCTTTAAAAATAGACGTAACATTATAGTATGTCGAGGATATATGCTTCTTGGTTCATATAAATCTTACAAGTGAGCTTTTCTTTCATCCTTTGATATCTTCTTGCAGTGATTCGATTCCTGTAGACAAAATGAGTAAATTGATAACCACTTACAAAGACGGCTGAAGAGCTTTACCTTTAAGTATTTACAAATACATACCTTTTTCAAACGCTCACTCGTACCTCCACAAATATTTGGCATTGGTTGTATTTTTGTTCTTTTTTTTCTTCTTTATCTGGCTTTTTTTTTAGATTTGCCTCAACGATTAGAAATTCGTTAATAAAACTCAGGATGTACCCTTGAACATGTTTCGAATGGTGGAAATCTCTAACATTGGTGTTTACCTCCAAGGAGCTATGCAGATGTTCAAATAGTCTAAATTTGAGAGAAACGCGAGGTGTCAATTGCAGACGATGGTTAAGATACTCTAACTACTCAGTACGAACATGCAGCCACATTACATTGTATGAATTAAATTCACATCTGTACTTAAATATCATTTTATATATTCTAACCACAAGTGAACGTAAGTAACCTAAACATGTACCCGTGTATGTAAGGTCAGTCTAGCGTTGTAAAAATCAACAGAACATAATAGTGTTCCACTTCTTAATTATACCCCAAAGTCATACTTGGGAACATTTAAGACAAATCACAAAATCTGGTTTTCTATGTTTGCATAAATGTATTTATTGTCGTTTAACGTGTCAACGATGACGTGTCTTAGGAGAAAGGTTATTAGGAGGTACAGGGGGCGCTGTATTCAAAAGGTGAACAGATCACGTGAGGAAGGGAAACGATCATTCGAAGTCGAGCTACGCTAATGTACAGACATTCCAGTTTTCCTAAGCTTGAATTTCATATTTCAAACGTCTAGTATGCCAAAGGGAANAATCTAAGTAACATTCTTTTGGAATATAATTTTCAATCAATTTTTTAGCAAGAGTGTATCATATTGACCATAAATATATAGTCCCCTATACTCATTGACAGCCATTTCTTTCAAATGCGACAGAATACATTAGTATTTCAACTCAAAAGTATTCTTTTCCATGTCAAATGTGAGTGATTAGCATGTACATGAAACTTTGTATGATTTCTTAGGTCAAATGTGAGTGACTTGCATTTATTGGGGGGTATTATAGGTCTTTTATCTAGTCTAGGTTATTGTTGACCATTTGATCTTTCTTTTTTTTAATCATTTCACATGACCACACATCTAGTAGTGATCAGGACTATTAAAACATAAGTATTCATCCAAACTTAAGATAAAATTAGGAATATTGCTGTCATATTTTAGTCTACTGGTTACAAAGATGTAAATTCACGGTCATTGGCGGCCATTTTGAATTTTGAAAGCCATACTGTAATACAAATTAAGTCAAGTAATTGAAAAGGGTTCTGTTTTTATATTCAGTGCACCAAAAGTAATGAAGAACTTAATTTGGGATGATAATTCTGTAATATTTTTAGACAGGACAGCTACATGTAAAAGACTTGTTTTTGGCAGCCATGTTGGATTTCAGGATTTTTCATCTCAATAAAAAGATTGAATCTTGAACAAACACTATAGGCAGAAAGAAGAGATTCCATGCTACACTGGTGCATCAAAATATCCCAGATATTGCAATTCTTTAATAATTAAATAAGAATTAAAAAATTAAAAATTATCAAAATTTTTGAAAAAACAGCAAAAATTGGCCGCCATCTTGGATTTGCCGCCATCTTGGAAAATATTGTTCATCGTTAGGTATAGTGCACATCTTAGACTACATGTCTAGAACGATTTTGAATTCTATTTAGTTTATGTATTTGAAATATTTTAGATTTTGTTGGGCTCAGAAATCTCAATTTTTAACCCGTGTGTTACCATGGCAATGGCTGTAGCACACACACCCACCACCAGTTTAATGGCAAACAAGCAGAAAATAAAACCTAAGGACCTAAGCTATCAGAAAAACATAGTGAACGAAAATCACTAAGGGGGGGGAGGGTTTCGGTATTTGGCCCACGGACTAAAATATATATAGTACCGTAATTAACGCGGTGAATAACTTTATCTTCATGGTATAAAGCTTTCGTAGCGGGTATCATCATCATCATCAACAGGCTGACTATGCAAATCTTCGGCAGTAACTTTAACCGTACCCTGACAGAGGTTTCGATGGTACATACTGTGAGGTGACTCTCGTGCGTGCATCAGTTTCATCTTTTGAAGAGAGAAGTGCGTGTTAGTAGAAAGTAGAGTAGCCGGCTCAGATGAAACGGATGACGCTAAGAATTCCTCATGTGGGCCCACTAGTATGTAAATCATCTAATTTCGAATTTGGTACTGATAAATGTATTTATTGTCGTTTAACGGGTCAACGATGACGTGTCTTAGGAGAAAGGTTATTAGGAGGTACAGGGGGCGCTGTATTCAAAAGGTGAACAGATCACGTGAGGAAGGGAAACGATCATTCGAAGTCGAGCTACGCTAATGTACAGACATTCCAGTTTTCCTAAGCTTGAATTTCATATTTCAAACGTCTAGTATGCCAAAGGGTAGGAAATCACAAAGGATAGAGAAAGTGTTTGAGTCAGATTCTGAACATACTGAGAAAGAAATTGAGAGGCCTGAGGTGAGCGAACCTGAGTTGATGCAGTCGGAGGGTGTAGCATCAAACAAAGAGGATAAAAACTACTCGACCGAGGAGAGCGGAGAGCTTGAAAATGAAGGGAGTGGCCAACAAATACCAGGTGAAGTTGGCTCAAATCTTGCTGATACTTTCAATTTGTTTAAATCCTATATGGATCAAAAGTTTAAAGGATTAAAAAGAGAACTGTCCGAGAAAAATATAGCAGAAAACAAAAAATTGAGGTCATCCCATGAAATTGAATTCAAGTTCAAAGGAAACAAAAAACAATTTGAATTTAACACTGAAGTACTTGAAAACCTTGAATTTGCAGAAAGTTACTTTAAGAAAGGGGAAGTGAAGTCTGGAAGACAGTTACTCAAAAGGTCCGTAGATCAAATTAAGAAACG